AGCGTGTAGCAATAGGCTCGTTTGCAAAGTAAAGTTACTTTACAGCTCCTGTAACTTCGACGATTGCTTCGAAAACCACGCATCTCTCCAGTTTATACAGTAAAATAACTTATGATATTATACAAGTAAACTAGTTGTTCAATCATGTAAATAAATATTGGTGAGCAAAATGATAAACTCATACCAAGGCGTCTCAAGAGGCGTTACTTAGGGTAGTACAATCAAGCTCTATATGACGTCGTTCTCAGGGATGGTAAACAGGTTTTCATTTTTATAACATCAACTAACGTTTGGTCCGTTTTTCTTATTTTGCAATATATATTTATAGATGGCGCCGACGTGACTGACAACTAACATGTCATATGTCCCTTAGTGCGTTGACGTTATGTGCTGACCTTTTTGATACTGAGGCCTTCAATAACACGGAGCGTCACATAGTAAATTTTTGGGTTGTGGGATATCGATACGTGGACAATTATGGACTATGGCGTAAATTGTTCACTGCAAAGACGTCTCTTCTGCTAAGTAGTGGACGATTGATTTCGATTTCGGTTTGCGAACATACGCCCTTGTATTACGCTGTCCCTATCTACGTACATTAACACGATACTAGATCTATGAGCGGTAACTAGCTATCGCCATGTCTAAACAAATGTATTGAATCGTACGTCCGGTTCTGTCGATAGGCGTCACGTGCATCGTAGTGTGTCTACGTTCAGTTTCCAATTGAACAAATACGCTGCTCGTTAGGGGAACAATCATTAGCGCATCTGTCGTTTAGATGCCATAAACTCGAGTCATCCCGCAAAAGAATCGTCCCAAATTGCGTAACCGTGCGCCTGTGTATTTCCCTATAAAACGTGTCAGTAACCAACTTTTGAAGCCGGATTTAAACTGTGCTGGGCTGAATACGGCTCCACAGTAAAAAATCTAATATTCGAAAATCGCGCGAATAACAGCGCGCCATTATTGCTTCTTTTCATAATGTATGCTGACGCCCAAGAGTTACAACATGCCGTTGGTCAATGAGATATTAAAATCGGACAAAACAATATGCCAGCAAAGCATGTCAACCGTATTCTCATCATTCGATGGGCCTTCGTCGTATGTCCTCTCAGAAACTCGGAAGTCAGATGGACAGGTGCACTTCGGTCATCATCTAGAACCGACTCTGAATTTCGAAACAAAGCCTTTGTCATGTATTATATTAGAAAAATTATTTCGAATTGACATTCATACATCTACTGCAGTTCAAGAACCCGTCGAGGCTACGTGGGTTCATTATTCTCGTTTTTTGTTCGTATGACCATCCGTATTCCATATCAGCAACATAAGACTATGTATTTCCTTTCGCTAGTTTTCCGCTTCTTCGTTTGTCTTCAGCGAAACGGTTGTAGGATGCCGGATAATGATAGCAATTTGCACGTGACTATGGTCACTGTCGCTGTTTCTACTATTATATTATTATCCTATTATCCTTACAGTCACCACCGCCATCGTTATTTCTATTGCCAGAAGCAGTGTCTATTTTGCGGCTTTGTGGATTATACTAATTATACACAAGTAAATGATCGATTATGATATCCCTATTGCGTGTTGCTTCCATAACCGCTGTGGCAATTTCGGTGAATAGTATACTTGCTAGAAAATTACTGCTGTTATTAAGACTGTCATGAACAAAAATAAGCTCGGCTAAACTGGTTAATATCACTGACTTGTTTGCTTAATAAACATATACACAATAGCATGACTTGCAATAATAACAAATGCCTATAGATACACGTATGAAAACAGATACTAATATATGTATATAATCGCAGTCGATGGCGCTGCTGTAAAACATGTGAGAGGAGGAAGCTAGGACTGGGACCAGCGGGAGGCGATGGTTGTTCCCGAGGGTTCGCAGTCTTTCGTTAGTTATCTTCAGTTTGCTTTATTTGTTGACATTTTTTGATCTCATTAACGAGTTGTCCAAGATAACTAATAAATAGCGTTTAACAACGTTTTTGAAGGACGGCACGTGACACTTGAGAAGATATTCCTGGCGCGATGAGATAGAACGATATGCAGAGAGAATATCTTTTTTTCTCGTTTTTGTTCGCTATTACGAACGCCAGTATTATGAGAGTAAAATAGAATCGGCGGTTATTTATCCCACGGCGAGACTCGATACGCGTAGAAACTAGTTAACTCGATAATATGCTACTGTGTACCTGTGTCACCTGACGTACGCGCCTATCTATCTTCGGCTATGAGAACAGGACGCCTGCAGACGTTACATGCATAGCTGAGCATAGGGAAACAATACATTATATATCAATTCCGCAGTCCGAGACCGTTGGCCAGCCGTCGTTGAAGGCGCGCTTTTCGTTCACCGTTACAGAATCTAGATTACAATAGTTTTACACGTAGCGAACGGAATTGGTTGTTGTTGTTGCGTACATCCGGTATTGCTATAGGACATTTCATTCCAATGTCTGTATATTATGTCCATTTCCTGCACAGTCATCTGAGGATGGCGTGGAATGGAGCTATAAATGCACAGGGCAGCTTGTTGTAGAATTCGTATATGTGTTGTTATTATATTGTGTTATCTAGCCGCGCATAGTAACTTATTAATAACAAGCTATTGGAAAAACATATGACTGCCAATTACTGAGTGGGAAAAAATCATCTACCGTTTTATACTGAAGTGGAACTATTCTCTGTCGAATGCAGCCTGACGATTATTTCCACATTACAGCAACGCTAAATTTACACGAATGGAAAACACAAAAGGTAATAAAAACTGTTGCTCAGAAGAGGGTCGTTGTTTACTGGGTAACGCATGGCTTGAAGGGGTTAATCTTGTTATATTATTGTTCGCTTTGTATCGTGATGCCCTGACTTGAAGCCGCTTTTGGCAACCTGATTTTATCAACACATCTTGTCGCGTAGGTCAGACTACAATTCGAAATACAGACTGATGATTTCTCAGATCATTTGTGTCCGCATCTGTTTGAACTGTCAGCAGCAGCGGTAGCATCTCAAGTAACCGGTAGTCGCGATGTGTTCATTATTGATTCACTGGCCAAAGTAACAATAATAGAATCACAGATCAACTTATTTAGCCAAACGGGTAACCCGTACGTCAGGACACCTCGTTATTATTTCCCAGAAGTGGGCAAAATTTGGAATAACCGTACCAAATTTCTTTTCTCAAGCTCTCTCTACGTTTTCGTGCGTGTCGCCCACTCGTGCAACGACCCAAAACCGTCCGTGAAAATCGGCCGAAGCACGACTTTACCTCGATGCCCGGTCGGTCGCCCGCGAAACCTATACAGACAACGAGTAACAAGCGTATCTGACGGTGCATTATTATATAGCAAAGCTATCCCAGCGCTAAGTACCGTGATTTGTCGAGTTAATGCTTACGTGTTTGGCGGCTCGAGACCCGAGACAAGCACGAGTAACCGTTCTAATGAATTTAATTAAAGACAACAACAGCTACAAAAAGCGTTTCAATAGGAATAGTTAAATAAACTCAAAGAAAGGCTTATGGAGGGGCGGAGAGTTTCTACATAGAATCCTCGGTGGAGGGTGTATACGTTGAGAAACCGCAGCGAAATTGGGCTTGATTTTTCTACGTTTGCCTGGAGGACAGCCAACGGCGGCTACTATAATAGTGCCAATGGAGTTTCCTCAAATTTGATTTATCGTCCGTGCATCATGAATATCTGTTATTATTAAGCCATGCTACCGGTCCTGACTTATAAGAAGTATTAGCTAATGTAGTCAATAGAGGTCTAATTGGCCCTTATAATTCTATATATATAAACATGATGAGGCATTCGATGCACAAAATGTTTTCATAGATTTAGGTGGTAGAGATCGTGGGGCATACTGGAAGTTATTGCCGCGAAGTTATAATGCCAAGGAACTTCATTGCTACTACTGATTTTACAAAATACGTGTTACATTGTAGTAATCAGCACCTCCTACCCTAGAGTAGATACATAAAAAAATGACATATCCAGCTCTAATTGACGTAACTGCTTCAGTGCCTCCACGGGACAATATTGTTATCGACTAACGATTCTTCAGATTAATTATGCGTTTGCTATACAATAAAAAAGAACAATTAACTGCAGCAATCGGAGCTTCTGCGCTATCTATAATACATAGGATTTAAAACATCAGATCAATCAGAACGGCCAAGCCGGTGAGCGTTCTCAATGCCCGATGGTGTCTAATTTTCCCCCTTAGTAGACTTCTGCAATTACTTTATTTTGACTGAAACAATGGCAGATTTATCTTTCCTGCCATAGGCCAATGACCAATTCGGTTTAACAAGACTTGATCGTTGTTGACTCCTGGCTGCGCGTTTTGTCCATGTTTCGTGGGTTACCGGTTATCAGCGTTCTGTTATGTTATAGTTAATTTTGTACCTTGTTTCGAGTTTTACGTCCGGCATTTAAGTCGTCAGACATTGACTAAAATGGCTGGAATTTTCTGTACGGAACGAAGTACATCAACGCTCGGATTGAAACCTACGTGTCCTTCAGCCTAGTAGGTAAACACGTTACCACTGTACTGTTACCCCTTGATTATACTTATAGAATTCGTTCGAGTAAACCAATCAGCAGGCCCAGCTAGCGATGAGCGTAACTGCCAGTTAACCAGCAAAATGAAATAAGCCAATAGATATAAGCGGAGTACGGATCGAATCTCACTCTACTTAAACGAACCAAACAGTGTACCTGTTAACATGGAACATTGTCGAGAATTGGAATTTACCTCAACTAGCATTCTAACATACATTGTTTTTTCTTACTGCATGCACTAGGCATTCTGGAAAAATAAGACTTTAGCATCACACGATTCTACTAAGATAACGTTTAATATTGTATCACTCGAAAATACTATTTAAGATTTAGGTTTTTTATTTTTACGTAATTGCGTTTCTACTATCAGTCGGGATCTTCGTCCGAGGCGATTTTTAGTGTTTGCATTATATTTTATTTAGCTTTATTATTCACGAAACTCGGGACTCATGTTATAACATGTTGTTCCTTCTTATTTAAGCAGTAATTCGTTAAGCTGTTAGAGACATGTGATTATATAATGCCCAGATAAATGGGTTATCTTTTGGGTCAGATTGATTACCCTTGAGATCATAAATCGCTGGATCGTGTCACTAACTAAACGTCTCAAATAATACTTCGCACGATTACATTGAATGATAGCCTACCAACCAAAAGTCCTGTGCGGATCTTAATAAATCTATGTTTTGTAATGACGTTTTCGAACCCATCTTTATGAATTACCTTTGTAAATCACCCGCCTTCAGGTTATGATCAATCATGTTATAACTCCATTCATTTAGTTGCCGGTAGTAGAAACCCAGTTTGCTCAGGCTGACTGTTGGCGTGAAGTGTCTTAAAATTTTAGAGTTGTTTAAATTGTGTTAGTTCGTTAAAACGAGAGGTACCTGTGGTCGGCCTCATAGCCTCACAGGCCACACGTTTCGCCAGCGTGCTTGACAACACTTTTCTTCCGTTTCCATTCATCCAACTATAAAGCTCATTCTCGGAAAACATTTTTCGTGAATGTCTAGACTCGAATCGCATTAGCAATTTACACCAAACGACTTATGACGCTCGCTCTGCTGTCCACTTCAGCCATCACGAATTGTACAAGGTTCCGTATGCTGCAACCTTCCTGAGTGTGTCCAACTCTCAAAGACGCAACCGCTGAGGGAGACAGTTGTCAATGCATTTTCTTCTCGAGATGAACAAAAGCGGTCCCCATTTTGAACCTATTTTCATACTCTGTTTCGGCAATGAACCCCGCTGTTCTGTTTTAATGTGCCAATGTGTCTTCTGCTGCTACAATATGTACCTAAATAGATGTGTCTGCTTCGACCGATTTTTCATGGTGTTATTGGTGACGCTGAATCCTGATCAGCACCGTTTTCGTGCTGTTTTGATAGAGGTCGTGATCAAGCGAATAGATGGCGGGACAGCGTTCCTAGCGTCTAACTAAGAGGATTGAACAACTACGAATCATAACTCGGTTAGAGCGAGTCTGTCATGTTTTTTTTCTGCTACTGCATGCACTGGGCATTGTGGACAAATGTGAGCAAACTGCCTGATATAGCGAAAAGCAGTTGAGGTGAATTTCTGTCGGTTCGATGAAGCTCGTGATCATTTTCTGAGTCTCTATAATCATATTCGCCAATCGGGTTGGTACCGTCATAGTGTGTTGAGTGGGAATTCACGAAAACAATGCCTACATAACAGTCGATAGATTACGTTTAGATACATAACGCTTGAAGACCTTCATCTAAGCAGATTATGATTTTTGGCATAGAGATGATATCGTAGTTTTGCGCTTAAAAAGATGACCGAAGGCGGACATGTTCTGGTACACGTGAAACATTGGTTGCCTGCGGTCCTTTCTGTGCGAAGCGATTTGCGGTACCGAAATCTCGGTCAGCTGCAAAATTAGAGGAACAAAAACTATTAGGCATCATTACGATAGTTTCAGTTAAGTGCTTCGCATCATAGCTGGTACAATATAGAAAAATATTATGTTACAGAAATGCAGCACCAGGACTTTTCGTACGCTGTCGCGCAGCGTCGCGTAAGCCTCTGTCTACATGATTTTGGAGCATATTTACTGCTATTTTATTATAACCAATAGCAAAGTTATTACATAAGTTATTGAATGAATTTTCTTGTGATTTAAAATATCTGTTTTGTGCAATTTCTCATCAAGGACCTCCTTAGGCAAACAGAGATTAAAGTACATAGGAATCATTTGGCGAACCTTTGTCAATGGATTGATGCCCCTCCATACGTCGTGTGAATTAGGACCTTCCATAAGGCCAGCGATTCGGGGTGCCTTGAGACATATTCCACGCTCCTGGCCCACACAGAAACGAATCGAGTGCATAAAGCGGATTTCGCTAGAAGAAGTTAATATCAAGCATCACAATTTATGTTATGTAAAATCTTCGCAGTAAAATCGGATACGTTACCAGCAACGAACAGACCGGAACGTAAGTTCTAATATTTAAGTTGACTATATCGGTATTACGAGTCTACTACTGTATACGACCAACTACGGTTAGTAGAATAGAATTTAATGCGCTGCCGTTCAGCCGTTAAGAATCCAATAGTTATGGCTTGAGCAATTAACGAACCCGTTACGACTAGCTACTCCCGAATAGCAACGGCGTTCTTACACTTTCCGCGCTTAAGCGGACATCGACTACATATGGTTGCCACGTACCAAAGCATACATATGGACTGAGCGTCAGGCCGTCCTGTAGTGCTATCCCTCTCAAATCGTGTAGGGCTTTCGGACTACAGCAGTTGAAAGGAGCTTCACCTAGAAGCTTCTTCTTAGTTACATCTTTATTCAGAGTTTTGCTGCTTATTGACAGTCTTAGAAGCACATACGAGATAACCCATTTATAATATCAGAACGTCTGCACGGCACGCAGCCATGTATAGTTTGCTGTAACAGCCGTGTCCTATGTCCGGTAATTGGGCCTGTACTCCACGCTGTGTCTCTATATTGTGATTACGGCTGTAGCCTGTTGTTTAATTAAATTGATGCTTAAGGGCTCTACGCAACGAAAAGGCTATGCCATCAACCCATTCCAATGGGTAGGCATAGATCAGGCCGAATCTGTCGTTAAATTTCTACACCCGGTATGTATTACTCGTTCAACGATCGCCGGCCAGCTTGAATTGGCTCTGTCGTCCTGCAGCCTTTTCTTCCCCATTTAATCCCCCTATTAACGTTAGCATTCTGTCATACAAACACACGCACAGCTGTACCATCTACTCGAACAAATGCTTCGTGAATGAAGTCAGCTTGGAGGCATAAATAGATTTTGCCGCAACCTAGTGAAGCGTTGAACGTTCTGCATGCGCCCAATATTATAATGATATTAATAATATTACTTGTTTCGTCGCTGTTTCTATTATCATCGATGTTATTGTTGATGATATTATGGTAAGTATCTAAGGGGCCAACGGCACGTAACGTCACATATTTTCCAAGGTTTTTGGCCCTATTCAAGTCATCATTCACTCGTATATATGACTACTTATCAAGGAGTATGATTCCTCATCGTATAGTAGGGTCACAGGAAAACCAACCTGCCTCAAACATCGACCCGTCTCTGACACCGATCAGAATTGGGCAGCTGCAATAGAATATTAGCTAATGGATCGCCATTTTCTACACGACAGCAGTAACTATACGACCCCTGAAGCAGACCCCACGACTGAATGGGACCCGTACATTTTATTCAAGTTTCCTGAGAGTTGGAGAGCCGTAACAACAAGGACACTGTTACATCGGATGACAGATGGCACCGAACAGTTTCGCCCAAGTTCGCCTTCCGTGAGCACTTATTGGAGACCTTGCAGGCATATGGACATATAAAAATGGGGTAGCACGTATATAACGATTAAATGACACTTACGTTTACTATGGCAGTTACGCTATGAAACGAACGTTGGATACATAGAAGACTCAATAGAACTAACTAAAAGCAACGTGGAAGTCTTATTCTTGTTATCAGCCTTTACACTGATAAGTATTCACCCTCATCCTAGGCTTATAGGAAATGCCTAGTTTACGTGTGTAGTAACGTTTACTCTAACGGCGATACTTGCGCCGTAAGGTCAATGGAACAAACAAAGTCGGGTGCACTTGAAATGAAACAATACATCTTAGGATGCATCCAGGCATAAGCGAAAAACGAAGGAACCTAACGGCTCAACTATAAATATGTGTAGAGGATAGGGCAAAAAAATGACCAAGTTTTTATTTTGAATCGATTAATGTAGCAGGAGACATGTATATAATTGCAATAAAGACCGAATTTAGCTTTAATAGCTGTAAAATGAAGATTTTCTAACCGTTGAGTTATTTTTGCCCATTCTGTACAAAGCCTATTTATAATGTACTTTATTTCATTATCAAAAAGTATTCAAAAACGTTTTTAAATAAGAAAAATTTTCATGTTCCTTGTCCTTAAATTCGTCAACAACGGCCCAGCTTATTTCCATTGTATTTACATATTCACAGTGCGTCCACACGTACGCCCTAGCAGGTACGGGTCAGTGCCGAGGTCCACTTGGTCGAGTCGACAATGGCTTCTGCCCCACTTTTTACAAAGGGGAAAAGGTACTGTTGACAACGAGTCAACTCTCATTTTAAGATCAATACAAACCAATATACGCGATAACGATCGGTCGACCCTTTCGCCGTGCTCGCAATGTTAACGCCACTTAGCAGTTTCCCAACCTGTCTGGTGGCCGTTTTTTTCCCCCCCCCCCCCCCCCCCAGCTTAGTTCCCCACCACCTTCTAATTTTTAACAAACGGCCTATGTTTCCTGCTCCTCTGACTTGCGAAAGTAGCGAGCGTCTTGTCCTTCATCATTATCGTCAGTAGCTTTTCGCCTTTCACATTGGTGTAGTAGCAGCGTTGCACCAATGGTATCCGTACGTAGCAAGCGTCGGAGTAGCGCCAAGAGTGAAACAAGAACGCCTTAGCTGACGTCAATGTCAGCGAACGGCTTTAAAAACGATATTTTTAGCCTCGCGATCGTATCAGCAGCAGCAGTAATAACAGGAACAACCGACCGACACAATTACGTCCGGGTGACATCGGACGCTGAACCATTCGGCGTCCGCGCGTTACCAAAGTCAACGGGCGGGATACGGTGCGGTTTGCGATGTAACTGGTTGCAGAAATAACAATTATCATCCCCAATCAGCTGGCAACTCGTCTGTAACGAGCAGTACGCAAAATGTACGGATCGCTAGAGTGGCCGATGGAAGATGCCGTTTTTCAGAAGAACATGACGACAACGACGACATGACGAAAACACTTTGACGAAAATCGGACAGGCGGGCGAAGAATCTCCAAAGACGTAAAGGATGTTAGGCTAGAATGAACTGCGTTTTCGGCACGAACTACAGATTAAGGAGCCGTTATCGCTTCCAACGGTGTTTCACTGATGGAGGCCGTCGCTGACGCAGACGATAACGATGGCGTCAACAACAGCAACAACAGTCGCCGTTGTGTTGCAGCCGGAGTGCAATCGAAATCTGTTGTCGTTCCGCTTGTTACAGGCAATTTCGCCAGACTGCGAATAAACAGTCAAAACACCAGGAAAAAGTGTACCAGAGCAGCGAGCCTGAGGTGGTATGGTGACGTATGCGGGCCATATACGAAACGATACGGGTAAATGGAAGAAAAAAAAAAAAGAAAAGCTCGGACAAACTGTGCATGTGGGCGAAAAATGGCAATATTTACTATTTTGTTGAAATAAAAGTCAACGGATAGACCAGTGGAAAGTTGAGTTAATTTTTTTTGTATCAGACACAGCGTTCGGTAGGTTTTTGGCTTTTTTTTTTAAGTGTTTTTATTATCTATTTTTTGTTTTTATAATTTGAACTGTAAAAGTTTGTACCGAATGCATCATTCCTAGAGTCTACATAAACACTGTAATCGAATGAAAAGAACAAAACTTTCATTATGAGTAAATTAAAGACATATTTTCACAATACCATGGAACACTTTCTATGGCTTTTTTCGAGTCACACAGATCCATAGACCACGATACGAAATGTTATAATAATTAGCTGAACTGAAATTACTTAGAGCAGTTCTTTATAATTAACGGACAGAGACGCGTTCCCGCGCGTCATTTTATCGAAACAGTGCATACGTGCACATAGAGATATAAAGCAGAACAGAAAAGTCTGAAGGGCAAAAGAAAATCTGTTCGTTAGCCACTGGCTTATTCCGCAGCACAGACAGTCAATGCCCACGGGCATTGTCAATCATTTGCTAGCGTAAAAGTAGCTTTTCTAGCCATCTGTACTAAGTGCAAAAAGTGTTTACTACTACTACTACTACTACACTGGAAAACCTAATGAATTTCGTCACAATGAGTGTCACAAATGCAATCACAGAAAAGTCAGATCGACACAACGTCAGCACCGGTCTTCGCGTATCTGCACATTCACAATCAAATAGTAAAAAACACTGAGCTCTATTATTATACGTTCGCCTCGATTTTGTCGGTACATAGTAATTCGTCCGTGCAGCGTACAGGGTGATGCTGGTGTCGACAGACTTTTCAATGTATGTCGCCGTCTGTTGTTACGGCAAATCTGTAAATGCTTATGTACGTTTTGAAGTATTCATAGAGCATTTAACCGTCTTTTCCGGATATATTCTATAGGGGCTGGAAACTACCGTAAGACTGCCCTAACACTGGTAAAACGCGAAGCGTCTTACTTCACTCTGGCTTTTCCAGCAAAGCTCATAGCACCAGTCGGCTGATGACTTTTGCAGCGTTTTCTATTTCATTCCAACCTTTTCCACATTCCTGGCTACTGATTCTAAATATTATCGAAGTAGAACTATGATCACTGAAACGGTCTTGGGTTGATTTGACTCCTAGATCCAGTAATAGATGAACAGAGTTTTTCTTTTTCTATTTCCTTTACTCTATGTCAGGTAGCCAATTTTAGCATCCAAGAAGAACTTGTTCAATACAGCGCCTTCCGGAATACATGCACCAGACACCCGCAGATCGCAATTAACGCTCGAAAGTCGTCATCAGCTTTGGCCTCTGAAATTGAGAATGACTTACGATTGGTTGGTCGGATAGCTGACGATGTTATTGGCAAAAGGCAATATTCGATTTTTACCATTGTATAATGGTAGTAAAGGTAATGAAAGAGGCCATTTTGCCGCTGATGCAGAAGCTTTTGAGCTGATTAGTCATGCAATTTCCGTCTATAACAATAGCAGTAAAAAGTCTGTCTGTCTGTCATCGGAGACATTAGTTCAAATTTGAAACAAATCTAAAATTGAGGGCTGGACAATTCTGCAAAGAGCTTTCCATAATGATTGAATGTCACTGAAAGCGGTAGAGCTTTTTTTCCGCTCTATTCATGTACGTATACGATAGCGATTAATCGACCAAGCGACCGTTCATTTTAAGCTTGTTCCTGGTGTGGAACTCACAAGGGACAAAATTCTAAAGCTGGCCAAACTGAATCCGTCCATTAGGATTGTCCGTTCTTAATACATATCAGAACGCTTAAAGTAGAATAGGCATCTATTTGATTTTCGTCTTGTTATCACATGCTACACATTTGCATATATATATATACTTGTCAATTAATTTATAATATTTTGAAAATCAACGATAATACAACGCCGACAGTGCTGGTGTTCTTTGTAAAAGGCCTTTTTGTCACGCCTTGGTAACATTTGTCAAATTTGCCTCAATATATACAAGAACGTAAGTTCGTTTTCGAGTATCTTCATTGAATCTACGTATTTCAAATCTGCGTAAATCAAAAAATCTTGCTTCCTATCAGCCGCCGTATAATACGATTCACACGACTTCATCATAATCGCTAATCCAGTCTTTACAGATGGTCACAATAGCTCTCACTGAGAGATTGATCGGTGCCGTTTACGCTAATACATATAAATCAGTAACCAAAAAGCACATTTAGCTGGCGTAAATAAGCCCGTATTATATACTCGTAATACAGGAGAGACCCGGTGTAACATTGTCATTACTACATTTTTTTTTTGCAACGGCACGCACCGTTGCGTGTACGCTGCGCTCACGTTGAAACGGTGTCGGTTCACAGAAGCTGCTACGTCCGAGCGCAAATGCAACCGGTTTCATTTTTTTGGATCATATACGTTATAATTTCAAGTAACAATTTTACAATCTGTTGCTAAAGAAGGTAAAGTGCCCATCACAGTGCCTTATCTTGGTTAGAGTGGACTCATTCGTTATCAGCTGTTACCTCATAAAAAGCTGTTTTGTTTGTTTCAGGTAGAGGCGTATATCTAGGAGAAATGATTAAGGCCTGCTGATGATAGGAGTATGTGTACCTATCTAGTAGCCACACAGTGAACTGGATCAATGATTATCCTTCTTGTAAGGTCTGTCACATGCCCGTAAAGTTACCAATAGAAACGTCAGATATCATGTGAAACTCACACAATACTATCTTTCGATCGCTTTCCTCTAACGGATCAATTGCCTTTATCCAAGGCCGTTAATACACTGACTGGCAAATAAAGGAAGAAGCATTACTTGTCAAGTGTATTTACTCCTATTTCATTACAGCCATCAACAAAATTAGAGCAAAACTCTATATTTTTGCACATGTGCGATAGCTGAAAGTAAGTATATACAATTGCTTGAAATCAATCCTGTCCAGATTCAACCATGAGTCATTGTTTTCTATATCGAACGCCGCTCTCAGCACAAGCTTAAATAAAGAGATCATGATGAGCATGCGTAATTAAGTCCAATATCAGACTCGCAGAAGTGGAACACAGATAGTAATGTAAATCTGTACGCGGCCCAACGCCGGACGCAGCAGACGACTAGCTGAATTGGCACGGATGTCACGTCGTCTGCAGCACAGCCGCGTCGTCTGCTTAGCCCCATTTGCAGCTACAACCGATTTCATTGCAGTGGCCGACGACACTGCATTTGGTTGCTGTCATTTGTGCTATGGTAGCGCCTTGTTGCCTTCGAAAGTCGACTTTCTTTGCCGGACCATATCTTGTTATAAATAGTCGGTGGCGATAGCAGCCAAAGCGATGTTCGTTCGCCGCAGTGACACCAAGCAGGAAAATGGCTACAGACATTGTTGCCACGCTTATCAACCGGCATTCATGTCCTGAGCGGCTCGAGCGTTCTCAATTGCTGACAAAGTCGTTGAAGTTAAAGTTTAGCTCGTTGAGATTTATGGAGCTGATAGATCACCCGCTTCTTTACGGATATAGTTCATTTCCTTCATTTTTTCTTCTGTGCTCGGTTTGCATAAAAATAGTTGTACGGGGAAAACGTAGTTATTTCGAGCCACTGGCGAGCAGCTTCACGGCGGCGCAGTGCTGTTTTCTTTAAACTGTTTGTTTTAAAAGATTGACTTATTTTATCTACGATTTAGAGTCATTAGTGCAAATGGTGAATCAAGGTTCAGGCTGAAAGGCCACTTGTGGTTTGCCAGAAAAAACTATGTAGGTTTTATGCGCGAATTTTCTACGCACGGACAAATCTATGAGAAAAACAATAGTGGTGATTATTACACCGAAAGTAAAAAGGTGTAGGAAAGGCAAACTGGTTAGGAATTGCGGTTGACTTCGTCTTAAATGCCCTGTGGAAACGAACGGGTCAAATCTGATTTATATTCAATGTAACGGCATTCGACGCCAGGCAGACAAAAAGACTGTACGGCTCGGAATAAACGAGAATACGTGCGCTCGACCCATATGTACACAATATACAGTATTTATAATACAGTGTATAGATTGGGTAATCATTCGTCGGCGTCGGCTGTAGTCATTTTTGTGGTCGACCTGCGTCGAATATCAGTTTTTTTATTGCCTAAAACAAGAAGGAACTACTTTATACCATTATTATGTGGACCGTAAATACGCCAGCCTGATTAGACGCGGAATGATGTCCAAGTGTAACGTCTGGCTAGTGTGAATAACCGCCTTAATAAGCCCACCCTGTAGTAACTGGTTCCAATAAATCGGTGCTAATTCGCACTCAATACGTTTATTTGCAGGACCGTCATTGTGTTGCCTTTTGATGCACGTATTCCAGCCTTAATTTGCTGTTGGTTAATGCCAGTACCAACTGCACTAATGGCTTACTGTCAGATTTTAGCCTTGCTAGCGATGTCCTGTTTATTTTAGCCAGGGCGGGCTTTACTATGACTGTCGACTTTATTCAAGACCTCGTTGCCCTTGACTACTAATAGTCTCATTTCTATACGACACTTCTGTTTTGTCTTCAACGTAGCAAAAACTGGCGGAAACTTTCCGGGCGGAAGGGGGGTGACTAGGTAAGCCGATATAGAATTTCGTGTCGCTCACCGGTCTAGGTAGCCGAGATACATGAATCGTGGTAAGTCATTAAAGAAACCTAATTAAGGCTGACGTTTCTTTTATTTTTTTATTAGGTGATGAAAATCAAAAAATGATTTTTTTCATTATTGTAAGGGATTACCCTTTCCTGACTCCGATATCGCTTAGGTGCGATGAAAATTGATTATCGCTAACACCCCACCCGCTACAATGTTTACCCACTTTACAATGTCATTACACGAAAAAACTTGTTCAGGGCATCTACATCCCTGAGGTATACTAAACTCTCTTAGAGAACCCACTGCCCTTACGCATATATGTCAGAAAATGGGAAGGTAGGCTTCTAGAAGAGGAAAAATGTTACTAATATCAATCTTGAGGGACACGTGTGCAGGATGCATGACGACAAAGCCGAGCACATGCAGCTCACTGTCCTGGTGACAATGTCCGAAGAGTCCTGTAAGCTGGCAGCTGGGAAATACTTGCGGGATCCGAAAAATGCCTAGTGGAAATAAGTTTACATAGGATCGCGCTGTGGTATAGCAGGCAGCTAAAAAGAACCTTTTTGTTAAAAACAAGATAAAAAAAAATCTCGTGTCAAACATTGAATTAGAAACGTTTTACTGGTTGATCAGAGTTGCTTGGAATAGTCAAAGGCAACCGATAATTAGTTGTTATTCGGGCTCTTTGCGTGATAAAGATATACTGAAATAGTCGAGTCCCTATGGCCGCCACAGTCTTTCAGTACATGTAAAAATATAGTCTTCCCCCTCTATAGCATTTTTCTTCGTTAAAAACAACCTATATCATACAGGACCTATAGCAAATTCAGGTGTCAGATAGGCTTTGGTGTAGTAATTTGTATACAAGAACATAAAGCTCATATAACATGTTTCGACTTGTATTGCGCGAATGGTCCAAAGTAAAACAATTATTATTGAAAATCACGCTGCCAGTTGACAACTAGCTTTCTTATGAATTTCAAGGTAGGCTGAACGTGAACGGGGCGACCGGTATCGATATACCATCAATTAAGTAAAAGTTCCGTGAACACGCTTACATGAACTTGAAAGGGGCATTTTCGCCATATTCCCGATGCTGTATTCACATGTTGCATTTGTTCTACGCGTATAAAATCGGGGAGATCGCAACTCTTTGTTTACGGCACCGATTGAACAGAGAAACCTAGTTGTGATAAGTAATACTAATATAATGTATATTTGCTTTTTTTTTTTTGTATAATATTTGTATAATATGCTGTAGTATATGCGCCTGATTTTGATCCATTTTCGTCGGTACCTTATGGCGCCTTATCTCATCCTAATTTTCTGTCCAATCATTATCCAGTTGATGTTCTGTTTCGCCATACACTTTTCCTTTATTTGCTGCCTTCAAAGGCCAAATCCCCGCTTAATGCTCACTCAGGCTTGCTCACTGACTTACTCAGGATTAGCTTTTTTCGTTGCTTTCGCTGGAGCCAGCAATAATCATGCGCTAAGCTAGCTAATCGATCTTCTTGAGTGTTTTCTTCACCTGCTCCGGGATGCCTCCTTTCCACAGTATAAACTTCGAAAAACATGACATATAAATAAAGAAATATTAGTACGAAATACGCACTGGCGGTTATCACTACTCTTGCGAAAAACTGTAACTCTAGCATAAAAGGCAGCCCACACATTACTCAGTACTGCATAAGATTTGTTTAGATATTAGAAACTGAACCCGTTTTTAGTGATCTATGCCATATAAATACGTTGACTCGTTTCGACCGAACCATCTTGTCAATGTCAGTGTCTGAGGACATCTCTATGGTGTTGTACGCAGTAAAAAATCTGCGATTTTCTCCCACGACGAGCTGCTACCCGCCAGTTAAAAAGAGTGACATTATCGACACACGGTTATGTGCAGCGGGTGCGATTAGTCGCGGATGTGGAAAAAGGTCAAAAAAAAGGGGGTTTGTGTAGCATTTACGCCGTGAAATTATTTCCATGGTGGGTACACTATCTACAGCTATGATGGAAACTCATGCTTTCACGATTAATGCTGCTCCACTCTTACCAGGCGAATGTAACTGCTTCTTCCCCAGGGACTGTTGAGATTCTGTCCCTTCGCCATCGTGCAACAGAAAATCTGTTTCCCTACTAAACATACATAGGCTGGCCTAGGTTCAAAGTTTTCCACACATTTCGTTTGGTGCCACCAGCCGTCTGAGGCAGGGATGCCATTAATTAAAGGAAGTAGACCTAAAACCTGAAACATCTCTGCCTCATCTTTCTCACTGAGCAACTACAATTAGCGTACAATGGATGGCGCATGACTATTGCGTCTATAGTGTTATGCCTCCATCAACTCCTACTGTGACCTACTAATACCATCATTAACCATAGAAGGCTCTAGGTTACATGCCCAATTCCACTACCATGGTTAGATGTCGCTGTCAAAACGGCTGGCGGCCCCCTCCATCCCTGAAACAAAAACTGTGTTTCAATCCACACCTGGTTTCAAATTTACTAAATATTTCTAGTTCTACATTCGGTAGTTCCATTGAGCACTGCTTCGAATGACTGAGCCATCATCTTCGCACAAAGGAGGCGCGTCGACACCCGGACCTTCTCTAACCTAGGCATCTTCGTGTTTCTAAATCTGATAGACAAGCGTGTTGGCACCGAGCCATCACGGGGTCGTCGTTGAACATAGACCGCTCTGAAGTGTCCTCGAACCTAGTAAGCAAACCGACTTACAAATCTGTTATTTATTAATATCAATAACCCATTTGATTATTCATGTTAGTTTTTCGAATGCTTGGGCCAGCACCACTAGCTAATATATAACGGGCAGAACGAAAGGTGGTTGATGATCTTATTTGTTGTTTTGTCTCTGCTAACAGCTGCTCTGCGGACGCTCCGCTTTGTTCCTAACGAGTGACTTGGTGCTATTTAGAAACCATCACTGATATTGGAATACGTGGATTGACACTGCCGGTAGCGAATGCTACGGTTTAAAGCGAACGGTGTCTATATTCTATATAATGTTTCCGCGAGGGTCTATCACCGATTTCTGTTGCATTTCGGGTTTCGTTGCTCGTTTTGCAGAGTATGAACTTATCAAAGAAAAAGACGAAACAAGCCAACAAAGAGGAGAGATAAACACAGCGGTCGCCAACGATAATACGTTGCTAAAGCGTGTGGGGGCTTTCGACAACGAGAAATTCAACATGGCCGGCCACATGATCAGAAAGAGATTACATAACGGGAAAAAAGAGCGAAAACAACAACAGCAGCATTGGCAACTCTGTGTGGAGCGCTGCAAGGTGATTCAGGCACGAAATGACTTCTCTTACGGAGAATTAAAGTAGAGAAAAAGATGTAAAAGGTAAACAACTGCGAGTAGCGACAAAAGTCACAGAAACCGACGCAGCAAACGCCCAGCTTCGACCAAAGCTAGCAAAACGCCGTGGAATCGAAACATCAACTGCGGAAAATACAAGGAGGAGACGGTCAGAGAGATAGAACCCATAATTATACTTCAGACGCCACTAAAGGTACTGGTGTTACCGAAACGGCGTGACCAAGTTTTTAAAAGCGCGAATCATGTGGAGAGGGAAATGGAGCGCGGAAAATTATTGCTAGCGTATCGAAAGGCCACCCGGTTCGACGCTGAAGTTGGCTTCAAGCTGGCGTGATTGTTGTGGTCGATGCGTTGTATTTGCTTTCGCCGTTCGGCGCAAACGAAAAACGTCCAACGAATTAGACTACACTTACGCTGTTGACTCACGCCAAGTTTTTTCTGGGGTTCAAGGGATTGTCGTTTAATATGTATCCATCGTACATACATATTGTATCACAGCTGCGGGGGATTTGGTTCAGTTTTGTATTTTTATTTGAGCCTTGTTATTATAAGAAGAGCAACAACAACAGCCATTATTATTGTTATTATTTTTTATTGCTATTGCTGTCACTATCAAACAGTGTGGTCCTACTTTTGTTAGTGTGCAATGGCCACTGAAGGGGTACGCTGCGGCGTGACAATACAGTACTGTTTCTCAGGCCCAAAACATTGTGAAAAGTTACTATTCTCATTTACCCTTCAATTTACCCCTACTCGATTTACCCTTCGAAGGAGGAAAAAATATCATACCGTTTATAAAAGGAACAAGACAATAGAAATCAGAAAAATATGGTACTTAACATTCAGTTAAGAACTGAAATCTTTTTTTATCGTATTAACATTGTGGAGAATGGGAAGATAAACAACACGCCGTATGGTTTTCGTCAAAGCTGTTTCTTCGCCTAGCACTTTATCTGTACGCAGAATCATCGAAGAGTTGACAATATTCTGTATCACAATTACAATATAAATGAGACACAAATGTCTCTGCGGTTACGGGAAGCATCCCAGGATTATATATTAGCTGAGTGTGAACGGACCAGGATAATTATAATAATTTATTGGTTCTATCTGAGCTATTTTAAGGCTTCAAACGCATGCCCATCCATCATGCATCGCAGTAAAGGTTGTCAGCTCCAAACTCGGACTCTTGCAAGCATTAAATATAACAAATGTTTGATAAATATGTATTCATCCCTAGTAACTAACACATTTTCTCCTCATGACGAATCATTCGGGCATTGCCTAATCTATACCCGCAGCATACTCCAAACAGATGTAGAGCCGGAGCCAAGCAATGCTTGAACTCTTGGTCACCTGCGAAGGTAAGAAGCACACATTAAAGCTGATTTGATGCCTAGTTTCCACGGCAACGGAGTGTTGAGCGTTCTCTTTCGCTAGGTTTATGCGGCCAGCCTCACCCGTTTGCTTCGCAGTCCTAACAGTGGCTACGTAATAGTCACACAGAGAAGAGCCAGCAACGAGGGGTGAAGCTCTGCATGCGCCTATAAGGTGGACTTTAATGGTGCTGCCATATTAAAAACAACCCAACTCCCAGCCAAGGATTCGAAATTGTTCGGGTGATAGGGTTCCTTCAAGTGCCACAAACCATATCAGTAACACGAGTGTCGTTTATCGATTGTGGCGGTAGACGTTTGCAAATGACACGGATTCACTCGGATTTTAACGACAAGCTAATATTAACTCACCAGAACATAGACAAGTGGATGGGTTGGTAACTGGCAGCTGATGCGGCTGTTACCAAAACACATAAAAACGTGTTTGCTAACCTACACATCGTACCAAACAGACGAAACGCGTTTTACCAGCGTAAAAGGCCATCTGAACATTCGTTTAATCGACTTCATAGAATCGTACGACGGACTACATAACAGCTTATTATTAATACAGGTAGAAGATCAGCCACGGAATGAGCGACCCGGAACTACTTCAAAAAGTACGTAATAAATACCATACATACATAATTTTTCTCCATTCATGTAGCGGGATATATTTTAAACGTTTAGATAATGCTGGATATATGGAGATCATCGCGCGACAAACGCTCCTTACGCTCACTTCGCTACTACTCTATCCTGTTAGTCAGCTACATGTGATGTGTATAATTTCCCCCATAGTGTTTTGCATTCGATGCCAATATATGGTTGAGGCATTGATATAGGTTTTGCCCCTACAAATCATATCATAGCGCACAGCAAAAAATGTAAAGTTGTTACGAAAGATAAAAAAAAACTATTTGATATAACTCACGCTTGTTACACATGTTCCTACACACAAATTCATCTATTTGTATAACGACGACTGTTTAATATAGGGCTGTATTATAGATTGATGGATTGGTAAGCATCATTTTGTTGGTTAGTTACAGAACTGCGACGCGGGCAGGGAGGGGTGAAATGTGTAGAAGAATCGATTACACATGTCTTTACCAATGGATGAGTTAGCTACTCACCGTACCTGTATATCTATTGCTGACTTAAGTTTGGCTCATTTTGCCAAAGGGTTGTCAAGTCGGCTGTAATAGATTGCTATTCACAGTGGTAGGAGCTGACCTTTTTCCCATATATACATTTCATTACACTCTCGAAATGCCCCAAAAAGTGAGACGAGGGACTAAACTCTACAAAAACCTTCAACTTAGTTAACCAGAATATGTGTACATGAAATCAAATTATTGCTTATTTATCATGGTATTAGTAGAAGATTCGACTGGATCTTCTCAAGAAACTGGAGCAAGATCCGACAGCTATGGCCGAAATGTTGGGTATGTATATAGATCCCGGGCCGGAAACGTGTAAAATTAAAAGTAGCAATCCTCCGCATACCGGTAGCGAACATTCTCGATGCGTTTAGCGTTAGGCGCGTATTACGCTACGTTAGTCAGTCATTACTCGGTCAAAGGTTACTAAAAAAGTTACTAAAAATAGAACATTATTTCTCTCGATAATAACATCGAAACGAAATGAGTATATGCTAGTACAAAGTATATGCTATTTTTTGGTCATTTTGTGCATATAGCATTTTTACTATGTTAAAGACTGAGCTTAAAGAATAACTTAGAAATTGACAAGAACTTCTATATCTTGTCCAGAGGAAAATTTCATTCAAAGAATACGCGTTACGATGCGGCCGTAAATAATTAGAAAATAGGACGAAGGATTTGTTTCTTCTCGTAAAAAAGATACATAGTTACAATATAATAGGCTTTAACATATTCAGCAACATGTTTGTATAAAAATACCCGACAAAAAAATTATATATAGTCTCTAGCCCCCATAAAAACTTGTGAGTTTTAAAATTTTAGAAAAATTTAAGAGCCAATTCTGCTCGCATGTATTGTAAACATACCCCTTACTAAATTTGCGGAATCGCCCGTCCGTACATAATTTGTGATGGAAGCCCTGGGCCACAGAACGGGTGACTACGTGATGGTTGATCCACTCCAGTTTTTGCGAGTTTTCCTCTCTGATCACTCCGATGCTGTAAAATTCATCGTTCATTTCGGCGAACCTCTGCTTTTCCCTGTTAGGATACTCGGAGAAGGCCTCCGGCTGTCGGGAGTTGAAAATGAAACCTCACATCTTCAATGAGCAACGGGTTGTCAGCAAGGAGGTAAAATAGTCGGTTGCTTGCCATATGATGAAGGCCCAAAACACGCTATAAAAGATAGGCCTTTAAGGTCCTTTAAGGACTATAAGGTCTTCGTAAATTATATTCGCCATGTTAGGTGCTGCTGGCGTCCTTTTGAGGTTGAATAGGCAAGGCGCTGTCATGAAGGAAAGGCAACTTGGGGTCCTGATTGCACAAGACGCGGTAGATGCTATCTTGCATCTTTCTGAGATGTGTGAAATGAAGTTATAACTATTAGAGCAAATGAATAGCCCGAAATATTGGAATTTGTTAAGTGAGAAACAGTGTATCGCCAACGGTAAGCCTGCTTCCCCTCCAAAATTTTACGACGCCCGTTTTATCCAGGTTGATCGTGGATCCCAGTTAGTTATTGCCATGTGAAACCTGACCAGAGCCTACTGCACTTGGAACCTGTCAAGGCCGAAGATTAGCAGGTCATTCGCGAAGAGGATAACTTACACTGCGCTGTTTCGGCCTTTTATTTTGCCAGGAAGATCCTTAAGTAATACTGTGAACAGAAAGAAAGTTCAGAAAAAAACCTTGGTAAAATCAATCTTTGGAAAAAGGGGCAGTTCTACCGTTCCGTCATCAATGCCTATACTGTTTTTTTGTACGGTCACAGGCGGCGAGGCGAGTAAATTCCATGCCACACTCACGTACGCCAAGGCACGCAGAAAGGTCGGGGTGCAGAGTTAAATGCGACCTTAAAACCAACAAACATCTCAGGAAACTGTATACCGTTCCTATCGAGCGTTCTGTCTGAAATCTACGCTGTTTATTCGTTATAGCTTTCCAACTACTTCAAAGTGCGCTCCGTCGTGATCCGTATCGCCGAAGATGGAAAGTCTCTTGGTCTGCACTCCGGCGAACAACTCGTGGCATACGCTCTTCTTGTCGATCGTACGCCGTGACGACAATAAAGTTGGTTCATTTTTTTCTTAGAAATCACCGATAGGAAAGCACCTGCGCTCACTGAGCCTGCAAGATGCTGGCACGTGGACACTTATTGAAAAATACAGTTCACCAAGAATCAATCTCCTTGAACGTCCATCGCGGTCTCTGTCAGAATCTGCTGTTTTGTTGTTCTACGAGGTCTCGAAGATCTGCAGGACCTCTACCATGACTAACTTTCACCCGAGTAGCTAGCGCCCTGCCGTGTATTTCTCATTGTTGACCACAGAAAACAATGGCATTACTAAAGAGATTGTACCGCTCGTGGACCAGTACGTACAAGTTAAGTTACTGATCAGTGCAGTTGAGCTTATTGAACATACGGTCGATTCATAACAAGTCAGCCATCTGTATGGCTGCTACTTTACCTATGTTATTTGCTGACTCTCCAACATCTTCAAATACTTTTTTTTGTTGTGCAACGAACGCTATTTAGCAGATTGTTTTGAGCGCCGCGGCCATATAGTAAGCTCCGCGCTGTATTTCTGCTGGGGGTAACGGGTTAGGTGGATGACGAAATAACCTCGAAAGAATGTTATGTTTATCTATGGTATATGGTGCCGGGACGACTTCGTGCGCTCCCTCCGGAGGTTTCCTCACATGTAGGCAACGTGGAAGAAGCTAGTTTCTGGAGACGTAGGATTATTTCACTGGCACCACGAGATCTATAGCGATTGGGACGTGTGCTCGTATACATCTCCCTCTTTCAATGAGTTAGTTTTCTCGAGAAAGCGAAATTTACCTCGGGTAACATTCATTATGAATACATTAATAATTGATGTTTCAGCGTATGCTTCAAACATCGGTATCAATCAGCTTGGATTGATTATTCAACAACAAAGGTCTACAAGTGTCGGAGCCCTGATGCGCCATTTGAAATAAGTCGGTTGTGGCGAGCGTTAGAGTCATTAGGTATGACTAGGGGGCAAACCAGGAAGGCGCGACAGTGCTTCCAGACCGTTAATGAGTTTTCCTATTAGCATCTAGGTAGTTTCTCTCAGCGCGGCGGACAAGCCGTTACAGTCTAGATGCGTGGACCACGCAATGCGATAACATTATTTTTCACTAATCCTGGCGATGGTTATAACACACCAACGCGCCTCCACTAGGACGTTCTGAGCTATTATTCTTTCCGTATGGACAGTTCACAGCCTAGAAGCCGGAAAAATTAAATAGGTAAGTCGTCGAATTTTCCGTCAGTACGACGATATCAAGGCTTTTCCAAGCTGTCGGCTTAAGGAACGCTTCACTCTTGCAGTTCCTCGCTGGAACTCGGCCCCGTACTCAGATATCAATCCCTGGTATAGTTTTGACGGCTTTGGTGAAAGCCGTTGCGTCCTGAGAACGCTATATGAGTGGCCATTACGGCTAGGACTTGCTTCACAAAATCCTCGGTCGTTGGCATTCGGGGAAGAGGGGGTAACTATTCGAATCGGTTGACACAACAGCAGGTGCCATGTGTAGACGACGACGACGACGACTCCTCGATGTGGCGCATGCTAGATGCTGTTCACTGGTCCCCGCAAAGCTGACCAGGCTGTTCGGTCGTCTTGGCCTTGAATGTTGGTTGTGTCTTGCTGCTCCCGTTTATTCTGACCTGCTGCTCTTCTGTATCTTTATATCATTGTCCTTCCTGATTTTTAAATCTGAAAAAGGCTTGATCTTTTTGACAATGTTAAAGTTATTTTTCTTGCTGCCTCGCTCTGGCAGCTGTACTAGTCGCTCTTAACAATTGGACATTGAATGATACAGAGAGGCACGACAGAAAAGTTGGCATTATCTTTGGCCGCGTTCCTCACAAAAATATTGTTTATCGCTTTTCAGCTCTGAACACGTAACAGGTGGACCAATGATACCCGCCGGGAATGGATCAACTTCTCTGCGGGTCTTTCTACCAGTGAAATATATTTATCTTTCTCAAATTCTATACGTTCGTGGTATCCTGCACGAATACTTCTACCGGGCTACTTGCGGTATTCATGCTTTTGTCAGCCCCGGTCAGCATTATTTCAATATCTTGTATATATATATGCTTAGGGCTCAATCGCGGGGAGTCACTGGCGCCTTTTTGGTCAGAAACTGCTTCATAGCGCGGCCAATGGGCTCAATTATACTGTCGCCAATCAAAACTACTATTTTCTTCCGTAGGCGGAAAGCAGGTACGCTGGGCAAAGGTCCGAAAAAATCGTCTGTTGTTGTCTAGTGATCTGTTATTGGAGTCGATTGCATATGCTCTTCTTTCAGATCGGTCACTTTCTTTTCAAAAATATTATAGATGAGGCACGAACGCTAAACATTTTATTGATTCCAACTCAAAGTTTATACACATCAAGAAGCGGTCTGTCGACCAGTCTG